GTCGCCACTGCACTCTCTTGTCTGGGCCTGCTGGTGCACAGGATTCCAATCCAGGAGAATCTGAGATCCAGTGGCAGTGGGCCAGAGCAACCATGGGGGTGATGGAGGGTCTGGCAAAGTGGGTCATGGCCATATGCAGTGAGCCCTGAGGACTGGCTGCATAGAGGGATCTGGGACCCCTGTATAGGCTGCAGGGAACTGCCTGGCTTCCAGCAATGCCAATTGGCCTCAGAAGCTCCTGCCACACATGTGGATAGCTTGGTATGGTCCCCAACATGGCAGGGAAGTAAAGGCTCCTGGGAGAAAAGGAGGTTGCAGCCTTTGCAGAGCAGGTAGCTACAGGAGGGTGATGTGGTCTGAACATTTACCAAGTGAGGGTTAACCCTCCCAAAATGTGTCTCTCCCAGGCCAGAGCTGGGCACTTTCTCAAGAGATGTTTTACTGAAAGTCTGGGCCCAAAACATGGGTGTGCATTATACATGGGAGCACATTTTACGTGACCAAAAATGGTAAACGCATTTCGACATCACTTAACACTTATGAAAGTGTGATTCTTTGAATTTCCTTTGAACTAGTTGCCCTGTACTATTTATTGTTTCTCATATTATTTAGAGAATTAAATAATGTGTTTGGCATGTGTTCCTTTTCTATTTGTGTGGAAAATATGATAAACTGTTTTGAAACTGAATTTTTTAAACGTTCCAAAATAATTTGCTAAATTCTTCCTTTCCTTCACGATAACTCATCTCTCCTTCCTCCTCCATTTTAGGAATCTTTGTGTTTACTAACACAGATTCTATTACCCTTAGTAATATACCCTTGCATATCCCCTCTGTATATGCAAGGACTCAATATTGTGCGGATGCACAATAGAAACATAATACCTGAGTTTCAATCTTCATCATTTGAAAATAATTTGAAGAAATTATAAAATTCTGTATCTTTTTCTAAAATTCCATATAGTTATCACTTTACTTCACTGGCCTCTGTAATTTTAAAAGAACAATATAAATTTTTAGTTCCTATTAATACATATTATGGTGTGGCTATTAGAAATCAGAAGCACTGGCTAGCCATGGTGGTTCGTGCTTATAATTCTAGCCCTCTGGGAAGCCAAGGCAGGTGGGTTGCTTGACCTCAGGAGTTCGAGACCAGCTGGAGCAGCAGAACACCTATCTCTAAAAAAACTATCCAGGTGTTGTGGTGGACACCTGTAGACTCAGCTACTTGGGAGGCTGAGGCAAGACAATCAATTAAGGCAAAGATTTTGAGGTTGCTATGAGCTATGGCACTCTACCAAAGGTGAAAAAATGAGACTGTCTTCCACCCCCAAAAAGGAAAAAAAAAGAAAGAAATCAGAAGCACCAACCATGCAGTTTGACTGCTTTCTCCATACTTCATACCTACAATGTATATTGAAGTTTAAGTTACTATGCATTTATATATTATTTATTCCTTAAAGTGCAATGAGTGATTCTAAAATAATGTCTTCATTTTCATTACCTTTATGATATCTGGAATTTAAAGAATGCCTAATTCTTAAGACGATATCCTTTAGCCAGAGTGTCCACAAATACAGACCAACAATCAGTGTAAAATAACACATACTGCTCTACCTTTTTTTTTTTTTTTTACTCTTATGGAAGCCTTCTCCAGGATGACTCATATTCAATCTTATTACAAGCATTAATGAACTTGACTACAAGTTGAGGTCAGTGTCATTTTGCAAAGTTATTAAAAGTTATACAGTAATCATAACTGTGTAGTCTGGGGTATTATTCCAGAAGCTCAAATTTTAAAGTTAGTGTGCATACTCATAAGAAGGAACAACTGACAGAATGGCTGAAGTTTCATGTGAATTGAAAACTTCTTGTTTCATGCAATTGTAATCATTGGTGTACCTGAACCCACATCCATCTTCACTCAGGCCATAAACACAGTGGCTGTATAAGAGTAATGGAAAAATGTAGTGGAAAAATGGAAAATGCGAAAGCATATTTAACTTTTAAAGATATCCTCTTCCTGGGTGGTACCCGTGGCTCAAAGGAGTAGGGCGCCAGCCCCATAGGCCGGAGGTGGCAGGTTCAAACCAGCCCTGGACAAAAACTGCAAAAAAAAAAAAAAGAAAGAAAGAAAGAAAGAACGATATCCTCTTCCTTCAATAATTCGCTATTAAATAAAACTTGAAAGAATATAAGCATTGTAAATATATGAACTATTAAGAATAATAGTTTCTTGGCTGACGTCTGTGGTTCAAGTGGCTAAGGGGCCAGCCACATACACCTAAGGCAGCAGGTTCAAATCCAGCCCGGACCCGCCAAACAACAATGACGGCAGCAACCAAAAAATAGCCAGGCATTGTGGCGGGTGCCTGCGGTCCCAGCTACTTGGGAGGTGGAGGCAGGAGGCTCACTTGAGCCCAGGAGTTGGAGGTTACTGTGAGCTGTGATGCCATGGTACTCTACCCAGGGGGACAGCTTGAGGCTCTGTCTCAAAAAAAAAAAGAATAATACTTTCTTAAGACAAAGGGTTGTATGTCTACCAGCTTCATCAAATACATTAAAGTGGAAAATACACACTCTGTTGGCTTAAGAGGAACTGCAAAAAAAATAATTATTTAGTGGTCAAACAACAGAGAGAGATGTCTTAAATCATGCATTAGCATGATGAGAAATGCTCTCTTCAAAATTAGAGCTCTTTCCTAGAAAATCTAAGAAAAATTTCCATTATTCTAGTTGTAAACCTTATGATTATCATATATTTATCTTTCTTTTAAACTATCATGAAGAAAATTTTCATAGTGTTAATGAAAATGAGAAACTGGGATTGAAATGTTGTATTATTATAGTTGGAAATGAACTTTGTATAAATTATACCGATTCAAGTTTCTATTAATGCAAAAATATGTAATTGGGTCATTATCATTTATAAAATACAAGGCTACAAGAAACATTTAGCTACTTACTGTATCCTCAGAGTATACAATGAACTAGAAATTAACTGTCCATTTCTTTCATCAGCATAAATAAAAAAATAATAATATGGGTTCCAAGGGCAAAAAATGAACACCACATGACCTGGGTCTGTAGATGCACAGACTGACACAGCTGATTCAATAACTTCATCTTCAAATCCACTTTGTTGGTCACAGCTGGACTAATCATGCAATAAGTTGCACAGATCATAAAGACAGACAAAATAACCATGTGAGTCTGAAGGGTCGCCTTGTGAATAGAATCAGAATGAAAAGAAGCTGGTCACAATGAAAAACATACCTAGAAATGTAGTTCAAAGCAAATAATCAGCGTGGATAATTCAGGCTTGAATACTAGTGCAGAATCTAAAGTATGACTTTTCACAGAACTTCTAGATAACCCTATTTTGTCAATGTAATAATCCTCCACAAGGATTTTCTTACGCAGAAAAGAAACTTGGAAGTTTCAGAAAAACTGACTGTCGAAAACATATTTTTGATAAGGATTGATCATTTTACTTTCATTTTAAATCATTAGAATGAAAAGCATTCTGTTTCCTTTACTTGACACTACAGAAACAGACACACATGCATACACATTCATGCACACTCGGACTCTTTGCTTAGAGAAGAAAATAAGGCCAAAACCAGAAATCTACAATTCAAATCTACAAAACATTTGTGTAAATTATGAGATTTAAAATTTAAGATTTTAAAAAGACTTTTTTCTCAGCACCCATATTTGTTAAAAATGAATTTTTTCTTTGTTGTGTCTGTATGACAATCAGTGTTTTTTTTTTTTTATTAAATCATAGCTGTGTACATGAATGCAGTCATGGGGTAACAGTGTGCTGGTTTTATATACAATTTGAAATACTTTCATCAAACTGGTTAACGTAGCCTTCATGCCATCTTCTTAGTTATTGTATTAAGACATTTATATTCTACATTTAGAAAGACTGACATGTACCCTTGTAAGATGAACCATAGATGTGGTCCCACCAAACACCGTCCCTCCACTTATCCTCCCCCTACCCTACCCTCCCTCTCCCCTTTCCCCATATTCTTGGGCTATAACTGGGTTATAGCTTTCATATGAAAGCTATAAATTAGTTTCATAGTAGGACTGAGTACATTGAGTACTTTTTCTTCCATTCTTGAGATACTTTGCTAAGAAGAATATGTTCCAGCTCCATACATGTAAACATGAAGGAGGTAAAGTCTCCATGTTTCTTTAAAGCTGCATAATATTCCATAGCATACATATACCACAATTTATTGATCCATTCGTGGGTTGATGGGCACTTGGCCTTCTTCCATGACTTAGTAATTATGAATTGAGCTGCAATAAGCATTCTGGTACAAATATCTTTGTTGTAGTGTGATTTTTGGTCTTCTGGATAGATACCTAGTAGAGGAATTGTAGGATCAAATGGCAGGTCTATTTTTAGTTCTCTAAGTGTTCTCCAAATATCTTTCCAAAAGGAACATATTAGTTTGCATTCTCACCAGCAGTGTAGAAGTGTTCCCTTTTCTCCACATCCACACCAGCATCTCTGGTTTGGGGATTTTGTGATGTAGGCTAATCTTACTGGAGTTAGATGATATCTCAATGTGTTTTTGTTTTTAATGAGGTAAACTTTGTAAACAATAAAATGCACAAATCGTAAATGAGCGAATTGATTAGCTTGGACAATACATAGGTATAATAGTTATTACAATACATAGGTATATACATAGGTATAATCCACCCACCTATCAAGACATTGATAATGTTGAATTTTACCAAGGCCCTGTCATCTTGTAAATAGCTACAATGAAAAAAATCACCTCCACCATTCGAATTCCAGGAAATGACTTCCTGCACAGAAACATGTCTCCCCATAGGACTTAGATAAGACTCACACTCTTTACCTATAACAAGGCCAGACATGGACTTTCCAAATTTCCATTCATCTCATAAATGATTAGCCAAACTGTTTCCTACTTAACAATATGAACATAATCCTTGTTGTTTGGGTTTTTTTTTAATATGGAACACTTCATGAATTTGCATGTCATCCTTGCCCAAAGGCCATGCTAATCTTCTCTATATCATTCCAATTTTAGTGTATGTGCTGCTGAAGCAAGCACTGACCATAATCCTTGTTAACCAAACTTGAATTTAGTTTGTCTCCTTCCCTAATCCCCTGAACTTTCACCCACTATGACCCTGAGCTAGCGTACAGTTCCTCCTTAAGAGCCCCTTTCTGAAAATAGCTGAATTCAGAGTAAAGCATTTTCTGATCTACTGTCCAAGCACAACACCCTTTCTAATTCCACTTTTCCCACTTGGTTCTTTCTAGCCTTAGTCTTATTTACTCTTCCTGTAAAAAAAAAAAAAAAAAAAAAAAAGCCCTTATCTAACTAACCTTGGAGACACTTGCAGATCTCATAGTTCCAGTTTTCTTCCTATTGCAATAGCCTCCCTCCATTTACTACAATAATCGATTCAAATACAGTCTATACTACTCTGCTACCTTTTAACAATAATGAAGATTTCCTTTATCTTGGAAAGACTCATTATTTTGTCCCCAGTCAGTCTCTGCACCATTCTTTAAAGTAAATTCTGCTCTACCTTTTTTGTTTGTTTGTTTTGCTTTGTTTTGTTTTAGAGATGGATGGTTTCTTAGACATTCTTTTTTTTTTTATTAAATCATACCCATGTACATTAATGCATTTATGGAGTACAATATGCTGGTTTTATATACAATTTGAAATACTTTCATCAGCTGGTTAACATAGCCTTCACCACACTTTCTTAATTATTGTGTTAAGACATTTATACTCTACACTTAGTAGATTTGACGTGTACCCTTGTAAAATGCATTATAGGTGTGGTCTGACCAATTTCCCTCCCTTCACCCATCCTCTCCTAAAGCTGTAGTTGGCTTATAGCTTTCATATGGAAGTGTGGGTGCTTATATATTGGTTTCATAGTAAAGTTGAGTACATTGGATACTTTTTCTTCCATTCTTGAGATATTTTGCTAAGAAGAACATGTTCCAGCTCCATCCATGTAAATAAACATAAAAGAGGTAAAGTCTCCATCTTTTTAAAGGCTGCATAATATTCCATGGTGTACATATACCACAATTTATTAATCCATTCATGGGTTGATGAGCACTTGGGATTCTTCCATGACTTAGCAATCATGAATTGGGCTACAATAAGCATTCTGGTGCAATAAACATTCTGTTATAAAGTGATTTATAGCAGTGTTGGATAGATCCTCCTATAAGAAACTAAGCAAAGAAATTTTGGATTTAAACTTCACCATACAACAATTGAATTTAATACACATCTACAGAACATTTCATCCTAACAAAACTGAATATACATTCTTCTCACCTGTCCCGTCCTGCGGGACACGGTTATTCGTGGGGCGAGGGGGACCCAGCCTGTAAAGAGAATGGGCGAGAAAGACAGAACGAGACCAAGCAGATTTCTTGTCAAGGTCTGTTTTAATGGAGGTAATAGGTCAGCTTTTATAGCACTCAGAGAAGACAAGAGGTGGGGTAGAGGAATGCAGGAGTTAGAGCTTGCATCAATCTCCTGCTGGGAATGTAAACGATGTGTCTGAAACATTTTATGGCTTCTCTGGGAAGAATAGCTCCTTGTCTGATAAGGGAAAAGCAGCTCCTTATCTGATAAAGGTTAGCATACTCCCGAGGGTGGGGATGGGCGGCCATCTGGCGTCATTTGGCTCCTGACACTCACCAGCCCATGGAACATCCTCAAAAATTGATCACATCTTAGGTCACAAGTCTAACCTCAGCAAATTTAAAAGAATAGAAATTATTCCTAGTTGAACTTACCAATAACAAGAATCTGCATACTCATACAAAGACATGGAAACTAAATAACCTTATGCTAAAAGATAGTTGGGTCATAGACGAGATTAAGAAAGAAATTATCAAATTTTTGGAACAGAATGATAATGAAGATATGAATTATCAGAACCTCTAGGATACTGCAAAGGCAGTCCTAAGAGGGAAATTCATAGTGCTGCAAGCCTTCCTCAAGAGAATGGAAAGAGAGGAAGTCAACAACTTAATGGGACATCTCAAGCAACTGGAAAAGGAAGAATATTCCAACCCCAAACCCAGCAGAAGAAAAGAAATAACCCAAATTAGAGCAGAATTAAATGAAATCAAAAACAAAAGAATTATTCAAAAGATCAATGAATCAAAAAGTTGCTTTTTTGAAAAATTTAACAAAATTGATAAACCTTTGGCTAGCCTAAACAGAAATAGAAAATTAAAATCCCCAATTTCATCAATCAGAAATGACAAGGGTGAAATAACAATAGACACCTCAGAAATTCAAAAATTCTTAATAAATACTACAAAAAACTCTATTCTCAGTTCTTAGACATTCTTATCTTAATGATCATGTAGCTAGAATTTTAGCCTCACCAAAATAGAAGCCTATCTTTTATCCCTGACTCTATAATATAATCTCTCTCTCTCTTTTTTTTTTTATTGGAATGGGGTCTCTAGGACTATACCTACAAACAAACAAATAAAATCATGCTGGACCATTGATTAGAATTGCAATGAATCAGTAAAATAAAGTTGGGAAAATGTATATTTTAATAATGCTTAGTGTTTCCAATCTACTCCTTAATCCTCAAGTACTTTAATAATTGTTGATGCTACACAAATGATATTTTACTTTTCTAATTTTTTAATGAGTAGCTAGAATGGCAGGTGCCCCCCACAACACTTGGCTATTTTTTAGAGACTTGTCTCACTCTTGCTCAGGCTGGTCTCAAAATCCTGAGCTCAGGCAATCCACCCACCTTGGCCTCCCAAAATGCTGGGATTACATGCATGAGCCAATGCACCTAGCCTTGATAATATTAATTCTTATTTTAATTTCTTCATGACTCTAGTCAAAAGACAAAATCATAATAAATTCGTCTTAAAGATTCTAATTTAGCTTCATTGTGATTCTGAAATTGGAAATTACAAAATGTTTCATTTAAAGATTTCAATTGCCAGTTGGCAGCATGTTGGCATTGGGCTTGGGGTCCGTGTTGAGTTAGGGTTGTGGGTGTCAGGGTTGGCATCAGAGTGGGCATTGGCATTGTGTCAGTGTCAGGGCTCACATCATGGTTGACATTTGTGGCACATTGGGGTTGGCATTGGCATTGCGTCTGTGTCACCATTGGCATTGCAGTCAGAGTTGGTGGCACGTGGGCGACTGGGTCGAAGTTGCCCTTGGTCTCGCGTCACGTCTGGATCTGCATTGACATTTGGTTGGCATCATTGTTGGCGTTCACTTTGGGTGTCGCCTCGGGGTTGGGTCAGCATTGCAGTTGGGATTGGCATCATGTGTCAGCGTTGGCAGCTGGGTGGGGTCGAGGTGTAGGGGTCAGGGTCGGCATTGCGTCAGCCTTGGCATCGCGTCCATGTCAGAGGCAAGGTCAGCCTCACATTGGGATTGGCATTGGGGTTGGGCACCTGTCTGGGTGGGGGCCCCAGGGCTCCCTGCACTGTCTTCCCTGAGCCTAATGTGGGTTGGCTACCTGCCTCCTGTGGGCCACACGTGGGGCCAGAGCAATGTAGTGTGGCCCCGGGAGACCACTGGGCTGATGGGCAGCTCCTCTTAGCAGAGTGTGGTGCAGGGAAACCCCCTATTATGCCATTTTATTTTATTTTTTTTTTTTTTGAGGCGGAGCCTCAAGCTATCCCCCTTGGTTGGCTTGCCTTGGCTTCCCGCTCACAGCAACCTCCAACTCCTGGGCTCAAGCGAGTCTCCTGCCTCAGCCTCCCAAGTAGCTGGGACTACAGGCGCCCGCCACAACGCCCGGCCATTTTTTGGTTGTAGCCATCATTGTTGTTTGGCGGGCCCGGGCTGGGGATTCGAACCTGCCACCCTAGGTGTATGTGGCTGGCGCCTTAGCCGCCTGAGCCACAGGCACCGAGCCTATTATGCCATTTTAGAGATAGAAAGATCTTAAATTTTATGGCAGGATCCTCTGAGGATTAGCCTTGGGGTTGGCCTAAATTCTCATTTTCATAAACTATTTTTGAATTGGAAGTCCATGAACACATTGGTCCCCAATCCACATTTGTAACTCTTATCATCCATCATGATTTATTCATACTACATTCTCCTAGACAGAATTACTTTCCAGTTGTAAGTCGTTACCCACTACTCTTTTTTTTTTTCTATTTTACAAGCCCATTCCCAATGACTTATTTCTATTCAAATTGGGTTTTCAAATCACATCTATATTTCCACCTCTGAAATCTCCTTACTTCTTCATTTCTTCAAGCATGTTTCACAATGTTGAATTCTAAACTGTTACATGCCTAGAAAGGGAGCCAATAGTCCTTTATAGACCATTCTGTGGTGAAGATAAGTATTGCCCAAGTATTACTCTGGTCAAAATAATCAAGAAAATGTTAAACATCTTTAAGAAAAATTATAGTGAAAACTGCTAACCAGTCATCCTATTTCTATTTTTAAAAAATCCTTGAGGTGTCTGCACTTGGGCTCTTTTTTTATAGTTTTGGTATGTGTAAAAGACAGAAATAATAGAGTCAGAGAAGATCCCCAAAATGCTACTTAAATGATGGAGACACAAAGCTAGGCAAGAGACAGGTTTATATAAAATGACAACTGTTCTTAATGAACCTGGCTAAAGGTGAGTCTCACCAGAGAGCTGCTTGGCTGCCAGATTTTGTTATTGGTGTCTTGCCAAAGCATATGCACCAGTTTCTTCTCTAGTGGTCCCAGTCTTGGGCTGGAGCTTGACTTCCATTTCCTCTGAGTTGCTCGGCTGACATTTCTTCTATCTCACACATCTCATTTTTGGGGGGGGGGGGCGGGCCTGGGTTTGAACCCGCCACTTCAGGCATATGGGGCTGGCACTTTACCCTTTTGAGCCACAGGCACCGCCCACATATCCTGGTTTAACAGAAGTTTCTCGTGTAATAGGAGCTTCTCATTATAGAAGGTGATTGTCAGGATGTCCTTATGTATAAGAAAGGGACAGGTAAACAGTCTTATTTAAAGAACTTGAAAACTGCTTCATAATAGTTCCCGTCTGATTCTTTTTCTAGGTCAACTGACATAGTCCA